AAAGTTTTAGACCAATAATTAATTAAGCTTAAACAAAAGAAAGAGATAACGGAGCTCATAATTGAAGCAGTAGACGACCAAATATTAGTGGTTTCGCTGCCATTGTTACGTGATGATTCTGTTCTTTCCTTTTCTTCTGATAATTCCTTATCTCCTCCTTCGTTCTTTTCCGTGCACTTTTTCTTTATTTCTTCGCTAAGTTGATAATCAAAAAAAATCTCTTAAAGCTGGCTCTTTTCCGGCCGTGCCTAACGCAATGAGCATTATTACGAAAATCTAAGTCACGATGTCCACAGGATCAGCTGAGGGGCGAAATCACAGTGGACTAGGGGCTTCTAATGTACCTTTCTCTAATACCTCTTGTAATGCCTCAACTTTTCAATTTTATTTTTTATTTTTCTTTGGATCATTGGCTTCTACATAAAATAAGAGACATTTGGATATCTTGATGTCCCAAAATGGTGAAAATTTATATTTTTTATGATTTTTCAAAAATAAAAGGGTGTATTTGTGATATTTTTCTTTAAAAAATCATAAAAAATATAAATCTTCACCATTTTGGGATATCAAGATATCTAAATTTCTTGTTTTATGTAGAAGCCAATGATCCAAAGAAAAATGAAAAATAAAATTGAAAAGTTGGGACACTACAAGGGGCATTAAAGAAGGGCATATTAGAAGCCTCTAGCCCAACCACAATAGCACTAATCCCTGCAATTAAAAAAAATTATCAACAAAACAAATACCATTTTTTATTTGATCATTTATAGTTTAAATTTTATTCTGATACTCTTTTAATAAATAATTGCTGAAAGAGTACAATGGTTTTGTGCAAATCATATAGTTGACCCCACCAAAAAGGACAAGATTGCTTGCCTTTTAATAAATAATTTGTAAAAAAGTTGATCCAATAACAATTTCATGTTGTATTTCAGGATCAAAAGTAAGAAACTAGCAAAAAGAATCACACTTTAAGGTATGAACTAATTATCTGATCTTTCATGAACTGGAAGCAGTTTTCCAGAAAAAGCCTTAACATACATGAGTATATATCTTTAAAGTAGCAAGCTAGCCAGCTAGCAAGCTTATGGTAACTGACCATGGTAAAGGCTATGGTGCAGAAGATAATGGCCTTGAAGCGACCTATGCAAACCTCAGACACGTGTATCACAGCAACTTTTAACACAGCTGATAATCCATCTAGAAAATTCACAAGCATAGTAGCTTTCCATGGATTATAATTTTCTTTTGTAAGGAACTCCATGAAAACTTCTACCACTCCCTTGTTTACCAATTCATGGCTGAAAACTAAACCTGAATCATTAAAGAAGTCAGTGAGTTAGTTATTGCTCAATGAAACAATGAAGGAAAAGAACGTGTTGATATGGAGACATATATAGCAAATAGTGTTACCCCAGATGAAGATCACGGTCTTGGAGAGGACAAACCCATTGCGGATCATTCCCAGGATAGTAGGGATCATGATCTTACTCATTTTTTTCTCCAGAGGAAGAGGGTTAGTAAATATGAAGAGACGAGTGAGATCGGAGGAAAGAGCTTGCTAGCAACGAAGCTTAGTTCTTTCAATGGGAAGCACCCACACATATAATTCTGCAAGCAAGCAAAAATAACTAGCAACAGCAACGTGCATGGGAGCGTGTGTGTGTGTGTGTGTGTCTTAATTCAACGTGTCTTGGTTTAGTGAGTATGAACAGAGAAGAAGGAAAGAAGGAGATAAGAGCTTGAGACGAAGCTTCTCGAGCAGGCTTATAGCTTCCCTGTGCATGAATTATGGACAATATACGACGAACTTAGTGTTTTGCATTGTTGACTAGCTATTGCAAAAGAATCATGCAACTAACAACGCCGGACTTGTCTCTTTCAGTTCAACGTGTCGCCGCTGTTTTTCCATGGTCAAATGCGCTTCGGATTTCAGTCCGAGTACACATATGTGCCTGTGATAAGGTATCCAAACGTGCACTTCAACTTTTTAGTTATCTGCATTACTTTTTTCTTGTGTCAAAATCTAAAGTTAAAGTTGCACTGTCCTACATTTTTGTTTGCGCGTTTAGAACTAATCCAACCCCCCACCGTTTACAGGTGTTTTGAGTACAAAGTTAAAGCTGCAATCTACAATTTTTTATTCTTTTATTATATAAAATATTTTTCAGTCTCCTAACTTTAACATTATTGATAAGAAGAGAGAAAAAAAAAAAGTCAAAGATCTCAAAAACTCTTATTCAATAATATTCAAAATCAAATATGAATAAAAAAATTAACCCTATTTATGGAGATCTAAAAATAATAAAATAATAATAATTTAAATTTAAATCTCAAATCCTAAATCTAAACTAAGATAATAATAAAATAAATAATCAAAGCTAATTTAATGGATCAGTATCCTTATTTAAATATCCTAAATAAATTTTGATTATCTTAATTAACCATTATCCCACATTACATCATTTATTAGTCTCAAATAATAATTTTTTGTGCCAAGTATTGTTATTTTAAAAAATTAACTTAAATTTAATAATATTTTGTCTACATTTAAGAAGTTCAATATCAGCATTTTTTTTTTTGTTAGTTAAATCCATGATATTTGGATTAAAGGATTAAAAAGATTTCATAAAATAAAGGGTTAATGATTATTTTTGTTCTTGAACCATACACGACACAAACACTTTTATCGCTTTTTTCACCATTGGTAGGCCCCACTTATATTTTTTGTTATTTTTTATTATAAGATATTTGAGTTGAGGGGCAAAAATGATCCTTTAAATAGAATTTGAGGAAAAAAAATAGTGAGATTTACTGACAACTAATAGGCATTAAATGTTTTTAATGGCAAGGTAATGACGGAGGGAATTTTTAAAGTTACGAGATAGAATTGGCTTATAATTGAGTTTTAAGACATTTATAATTTTTTGTGTACAGTTTAATAACAAAAACGACCCTTAATACTAAAATAAATTGATTAAAATTAAACCTAGCTTTAAATTCAATGACTAGCTGAAAGTACACATTGGTCTCATTATAACTATTTATTTTTATTATTAATTTTTACTTAAAGACGTGAAGAGGTCCCCCCCCCCCCCGGGGGGTGAAAAAGAGTTTAGAAACCAGATCAATCCTAAATTCAGCGTGGGGGTCATTGCAAGTTTAGAAACCACTTCTAAGTCAGTTACCAGAATCCTCTTGCAATGTTAATTTGTATATGTTATAATTATCTAAATAAAGGGCTTTTAAAAAGTTGAAAGTAACAAATCCAAACGTATCAGGATGGAAACCGTTGAAGTTGCTTTGAAACGACATTACTTTTTGCTTTTATTGCCGAAATCTAAACAGGATTAATGCTGTACATTCCACCTTTTTAAAACCTAACAATTTTGACATTTGAAAATTCACAAAAGTACTTTACAAATATTAGAAGAGTGGTTAATCAAACGCACGCTTATTATTTTCATTGACTGAATGCACACTTACAAATTTAATTTGCATAAACTGAATGAATGATAAATTTGCATACACATATTAATTGAATTCTTTGATATAACCGTACATTTTTTATGTATATGATTATTTCATGTATATTTACTCAATGTACAAGAAAGAATTAACAAACTGATGATAAACTAAAAATTTCCCAAACAAACAGCATATACAGTTTTTTATTTTCAAATAATTTTTTATGAATGCAATGTCCGAAAATTCTTCTCAGTAAATTTTCTCTATCTGATCTATCAAATGGAGGGGCAAAAATTAATATTCATGCTTCGTTCATTTTAAGAATGTTTTTTCCCCTTCTAGTCTTGTGTATCAAGCTGGAGTAAAAGAAAGTTGTATTATTATTTTTTTACCATAAGAACATTATATTGTTCATGACTTGTGAAATAGCAAGCTACAGGATAATTTTATAGATATGAATAGCATGATCTTATGCAATTCGCTGGAGTCCAACATCTTTAAATCTCTCTCTCTCTCTATAGATATATATGATATATTAACATAACATAATATAGAATATATATATATATATATATCTGTATAATATATAATGGTATATATATTTATTCTGTACATATGTATATATATATCTAATGGTATGACTTATTACCGACGTGCATGGCGTCCATGTAACGTACTTGTTGACTCAACCCAATAGCTTATCAATAATAAATATACTATAAAAAAAAATCACCTTCAACAACGATTCCACAAAGTTGTTACTGAAAGTAAACAAAGTTATTGTTGACAGTCAAAGTTCCTGCATGGAGTTGTCAAAGTATATAAAGTTAATGGTCAAATTTGTCCCTGAAGTCTACACGAAAGGTCATAAATGACTTTACACTTAACTATGAATTATTTATATCCTCAACCTCAAATATTTTTTGTTTTGTATATCCTGCCATTTATTAGTTCATTTTTTTCTGTAAATGGGGGCCACATTCAAATTTGTTAATATTTTAATGGGTCCCACTTTTTAAATATATTTTATAATATAAAAAAACACTCTCTCTACTCCATTCATCCACTCTCTCCCTTAATCTTCCTCTATCCTCCTTCTCACCCTGCTCTCCCTCCCTTCTTCATTCTCTCTTTCCTGAGTCCATGTATGATGTATCTTATTTGTGCATTCTCATTCTTATGGCTACAAGGAAGCTCCAAAGAGAGGTTGAAGGTGAAGGCATTTGTAGTAACCTAGAAATTTTAAGCAAAAATTAAATATATATCATTTTTTTTGATTTAGTTGTTGTTATATTAATTTTGGTGTAACTTTGACAAGAGGAATGGTTGGCATAGTGGAAGAGCGCACGTGATTTATACATGGGATTCAGAGTTCGAACCAGCTGAAGCATTTGCGAGTTATTCTTTTTAATTTTCTTTATTTTTAATCTCTAAATTACCAAAATACCCTCAGCTTATCAGATATAATTTTTTTTTCCTTCTTCCTCTTTGCTGAGTCGTGTCCGGCATGAGAGAGAGAGAGAGAGAGAGAGAGGGAAAGAAAAATCTAGAAGTTGCGTGCGACCTCTATACCTTCTGCCGTTCTCGACCTCTGATCCTTCTTCTTCGTTCCTTGCCGTCGCCGACGAGGCAGACGAGTTGCCGTGAGGTCGCTGTCACTGTGCGATGCCCAGGTTCTTCCTCGTTCTTCTCTGTCTCTGTTTGTCTTCTCCACTGTTGCTCTGTTTTTGCTGTTCTCATGTGCGTTTCAGTCGGTGGTGGTGTCGCCAGAAGCTTCGAACGCTTTCCTCGTCTTCTCTTCGACAATTTTCATTCCTCCATAGTTCAGATCGGCGTCGGTGAGAATCTGGTGCTGTTTCACTGTTGCTCTCTCGTTTATTTTCTGATATGAGATTCATTCGGCCTCCCCTGCCTCTCCTCTGTTGGTGTGCTGCTGTAGGGGTCACGGTTATCATTGTTCTTCTCCGTCTTCTCTGCTTCGCATGTATCCAGTAACGTCAATCTCTATATACCTGATTCGAACAGCAATAGCCCCTTCTCTAGCTTCCGTCATTATTAGTCTGAGCCCCAACCCTTTTCTTGTTCTTCTCTGCTTGAGTCGTGGCTACTTCAGGTGAGGGACTTCGATTTCATTTTTCATTGTTGGCTTCCTGTGCGTGAGTGTGCTGTAATGGCTGAAACTATGGAATTTTCTTGTTCTGCGTTGCTGTGTGTGTTGGAATATGAACAGGAAACTGATTTAATTAAAATTTGTAGTAAAAAGGAAAAAAAAAACAAAAGAAGAAGAAGAAGAAGAAGATAAGTGTCGGTTTGAATTTTATTTGAACTTGATGTAATTATTGATGTTGATACATTATTGGGCAATTGATTGGGGTTAAGAAGTTCCATTAAAAGAACTAAGAATTGATGCTATTTGTTGAAAGGTCTGAGAGGGGATCTTCTTATCATTTGACAGCTTAGCTTTGGTCAAAGTCATATGAGAAAATTTTGTGGTAAATGATGATGCTTAGGAAATTTTAAATTATTTGGATCAATTATATTGTCATTGTTAGAAGAAAGTTTAACGAAATTGTAAGAAGTCTAATAAATTCCTATTGTATAAAGGGGATTGGAAGAGAAGAAAAATTGGTACCATAGTTTAAATAATAGTGCTTGTAAAGCATTTGGTGAAATGCTTATTAGAAAAATCTAACATATAATGGCAATATATATATATATATATATATATATATCTCTATCAATGATAGCTATTTTGTTGTTAGCCAAATATTATAAAAGACTTTTTATAAGGGAAGTTGAGGTAAACTAGAGATTTTTAGAATAGGCATCTTGCTTGGTAATTTGTGGGCAAATTTGCTATTGATATGTAAGTCTTTGGAATTTACATGAAATTATTGGCGCAAAAAAAAAATGTTGGAGTTAAAATTTATCTGTCTTTATCTTTTGAATTAAATTGAACTATAGATTTTGGGTTCTAAAGTGTATATAAGAAAATGATTGTAGTATTATTTTGGCATTAGGAGATTAAAGGCCAAGTATCATTGCCAGAAGATTAAATTGGAAGCAAATTATATTTTAAAACCTTTTAAGTAAGTGGATAACGTCTCAATCAATATATATTGAAAATTTTTCTTTATCAAAAGATCGCTTTTAATAAGTTATGGATATTTATAAATTTCTCTTGCTTTAGCTACTTTTGTTAATTAAATTGCTCTGCTTCTTGAAGTCATGACTTATACTTTTTATATTGATAAAAATGCTTTCTTAAATTCTAGTAGTGCTTTATTTGATAAAGCCAATAAAAAAAATTGTGAACAGTTTATAAGATATTAATTGTGAATTTTTATATTTAGAAATATTGGTGCTTTTATATGTTTCATGTGAGTTAGATTTTTAAAAGAGAAATGGTATTTTGAAAGTGATGATTTTTTTGGATGTCTGAAATTGAATTTAAAAAGGGGACTGTATACAGAACGCTAGTTATTAATGGCAGTTTCGTTAGCCCTTAACGCGCCATGTCAAATACTAGCTAGTTTGGATTTCGTGAGCTTTGTTCTCACGTTTGTTATTCGTGGGTCTTGTACCTACGTCTGTTTCGTGGCTTTGATCACGTCTGGTTAGTTACCTTCGTGGACTATGTGTCCACGTCTGTTTCATGGCTTCGGCTGTGTCTAGTTACTTACCCTTGTGGACTGAGTGTCCACGTTTGTTTTCGTGGCATAAGCCACGTTTGGTGATTTATCCTCGTGGACTATGTGTCCATGTTTGTTACTTGTTCTGATAAGTTCCTATACTTATGAGTTTTTTAAATTTTTATGGATCTATTTTCATTGGTTTTGATTAATGACATGTTTATAATTAGTTATTGCAATTATTTGCTTTATTAAAGTTAAATGATAATGGCATTTGATAAGATACTTTAATGAATTATGATTTTATTTAAAGTTACATAGAATCCTTTTATTCTAAATTTATTTAAATCTTCATGGAGATCATTATGTTTTTAATTTTTCTTTTATTCATATTTAATTATTTATTATTGGGACGTTATTCATTGAAAAATAATTTTTGGTTTCAGATAGTGTAGCTGACACTGAATCACCCACTGAACATTTGGGAGTTTGTGATTGATTAAAAGCGGAGGAGCTAAGGGTTAAACTTTCTCTTGACGTAAAATTTTAATTATGAAATTTTATTTTGTAAACTTATTTTTAGGTGCTCCACATAATCTGTAGTCAGGTTATTTATGTGGTTATATATTTTGTCTATCGGTTGGAAGGAGCTTTACTCCTGATTGGCTTGATACTTTCGGTTGAAATATTGTCTTGTAGAATTTTCGAGAGATCTTATTTACAGAGGAGATTCTATCAAAATTTTTATAAAAATATTGAGACTTTTATTACTATCAAAAATGTTTACGTATGTTCTAATTCAAACTAAAACATGATTATCTTTTAGTGATGAAAAGATTACCCAATCTGAGGCTTAAGGGATGTGTGATGGATCACATCCTTTGCTGGTCACTTTCTATTTTTGGGGTGTGACAACATTGCCAATGACCATCTTGATCTCTAGTCTCTCTCTCCTCCGTTCTACTTTGAGAAGAATTATTGCTTCAAGAATAACCCAAGCATATTTGAGGAAGCAAAAGATGGAAGCTCTGTTTTATGGGAACCAGAGAGAGATGTTGAGGGGTTCATCGATGGTGACAAAAGAATATTGAAAATACCCATTGAGAAAGAGAGAGAGAGAGATAACTAGTATAGTGAGCAGTGGAGGAGAGAGGAAGTGAAATGGAGGAGAAAGAAAGTGATTATGCAGAGCTTTTAAAGGACTAGCAGCGGATGATGAGGGTTAGTGGAGCAAGGTAGAGCAATGCCATCAAGCTCTCTTACGTTTTGTCTCTTAGACTTGTCATGATGGAAATGAGAGTGGCACGACAAGGAAAAGGGAAGTATAGTGGTGAGATGAATGAGGTGGTTGTGCGAGCATAGATGAAGGTAGACATGACGTGCATTCAACAGTGAAAGAGCAAGGCTGTTGGGTTTAGTTGGCTATCTAGCAAGACAAACTATTAGCTTTAAGGTTGAAGTTGTTAGAGTTGCAAGGGAGGCTGTCAAGGCCGAAGTTAGTGACGACGGGTTCTATGTCAGAGTTGAAGAAGATATTGGAGGGTTTGATTGTCACACCCCAATACTAAAGGTTTGACTGGCACAAAATATAAGGTGGACTGACATTCTATAAGCCTTAATTAACCAAATATTAAACTAAACTATTGATATGTAATTTATAAAGTTCATAAAGAATTAAGTAGATCTTTCGGCAGAATCTCTCTTGTAATTTGAACCTCTCAAAATTTTTACAATAACAAACCTATTAGCAAGTCCAGCAAAGGAGACTAGCTCCACACCAGCAGATTCCATATCAACAAAATAAGACTAGGATCTAACTGTAGTGTATATAAAGCACTAAATTATAGTTACATAATACAATATTTAGCTTTACCAAAAAAGATAATTATAATGTGCTTCCTCTTTCAAAAACATAAGGTCCCTCAATAATCTATAAGAGGCACAAGGTCGGCTACAATATCTGAGACCAAATAAATTTTAAATGAGTAACGCTCCAATTAGAATTATAAGCTTTCATATGAATATAGAACTAATAAATTTAATTTAAAACACTTTGATGAAATAATGAAACATATATTTGAACTAACAATAAAGAACAAGTTTTTTTTCCAATAATACAGTTGTGAAATTAAATAATGTTAATAGAACAATATAAACTTTTCAAATTTTATACTGCTCATAGAATATAAAAATTTTAAGAAATGGTACAATCAGGTAGAATGTTTTTAGAGAATTAATATAGAAGTGTTAAATTTTAAATTTCAAAGAGCTTAATCAAAAAAAATAAAAAGTGCGGACACAAAGTCCACGAGAGCAAATAACCAATCAAGTATGGACTCATAGTTTATGGAGGTAAGTAACCAGTCAAACAAGGCTGAAAGCCATGAAACAAGCACGGCAAGAGTCATGAATCAAGCGCGGGCATAAGGCCCATGAAAACAAACATGAGTACAATGCTCCCGAATTATCATCCCTTTAATCCACGTGTGTTGACCTTCGCACGGGGTTAGCACCTCCTATAAACGCCCTACTAGTTAGATGTATCATGGCGCGTCAAAAGCTAACAGAACTTTGTTAGCATCCTGTGTTTTGAATTCAATCCCCCCCTCATTAAAATGAAGCATGTATGGAACAAGAAAACATTTTCAAACACTATTCAATTATCATTTTCCATTGCTCAAATTTATTATCATTTCATCTATACACAAATCATTGCATTAAAAATGTATATATCAATGTAGAATTAAGTAATTAAACTATTTTTGAGAAATAATACTATTTATCATATATCCGTTTCAATTATCATTTATCAATAATATAAATCATTAGTAAAATTCAAGATATTATTATTAATAAGAAAATTATTGTGAAAATAAGATTAATAAGAATATTTCTACAATTTATAAAGGAATAATGGTAAAATTTTAATAAAGAAATTTTATAAACACTTTACTGAAAATTTATTTGAAACGCTGCCCACTCATTTGAGAGTTTCTCAAAAATTCTAAAAATTACTCCTCTTGACTTTTCACTTTAATTTTAATGATGTTCTTAATTTTCTGACACACAATTCATAATTCTAAAATCATTTATCAAGTAATTTTTTAAATACTTAGTGGTATTTAATTTCAATACAACAATATTAAAGATAATATTCTAACCAATTATGTTTTAAGTATACTTCAGTTAGTTAAACTTTTGACAACCCTCAATTCATTCTCATATCTCCTTATAATCTATTCTCAATCATAAATTATAATAACTCATATCAACTATTTTCATGTTTCCTTTAGATTTAATAACATACTGTACAAGCATCCTAAGCATTCCTTTCTCCTATTTTGATTTTTAAAATTTCAAACTTACATATATTCCTTCAAGTAATGTTTATAATTCCTCTAGGCTCTTATAAAAATTTAGCAATCTAATTTTCACCAACAAACTTTTCAAAAATATTTACAAATGTTATAAGAACATTCACCATTAAATAAATTGAGGCAAACATCTAAGCAAATTCAACAATTTCTAACTTTTAATTTCTTCATCAATCTTTAACTCAACACTAATAAAATAATACCCAATATTATCCAAAACAATACCTAATTTTTCACTCAAGCATTTCTACGAGCATTTTAAAAGTATCCAAATTCAACTCTCAATAATTATCCAACCATTTAATCAACTTTTAATATTAATTTTAAAATTAACATTCAGCTTATCACCAATAAAAATTATACACAACCTCAACTGAATTTACCACTCAAATTCAGAGTGGGGAAAAATCATGACAGCACTTAAGAGGAGCAGAGACGCATTCTTCCATCCGGGAAGAAGAAGAACTCATGTTGCTATTGAAACCGAAGGAGAAAAAGGAAGAACCAATGTCTTACCTACAACCAAAGTGCAGTGGAGCTGCCACACTTCAGCTCACGCATGACATCAAAGAAGGGAAGAAAAGCTTCAATCCATGGCTGCTCAACGAGGAGGAACAGAAGCAGAAATTTCATATCGGAAAAAAAAAATTGAGTCTACTATGCACAACACACGAACGTTCAGCTATTGAAGAGAAGAAAAGAGAAGAGATGAACACATACGCACCTCTGCCAGCACGCAACAGCAAAGAAACAGAGGAGAAATTCAGCTATAGCACTTATCAGAAACAGACGAACAGCAAAGGGGGAGGGAGTGAACGAATTTCCGGCGAGGAGAAGACACACACACCAACGGCAAACGTGAAGCTAGTGCCCCGAGAAAGAGAAGAGAAACAGAGGAAAGAACGCAAGCTCTCACACTGACTCTGCTCTGCACAGATGACCGACAAAGGAAAGGAAAATCTGGATAAAGAATCCATGGTACGAATCACAAAACAATACCCAAAGTTTGTTGGGCAAAATTTCGAAAAGAGACCCCACCAGATTTTTATTATTGTTCCCATTGTTATAAAATATAGTTAATATGAAGAGTAGAGAAGGACAAGATAATGCAAGAAATGGAGAGAAAACAATAAAAAAAATTCTTATTAATTAGTGTCCATATGCTTTAGACATGATCTCTATTTATAGGCCTTCAACCATTCAAGTTTTATCCTAATGTTATGAAGATATAATGAGGCCTATAATAGTGTATTATGTAATATTTGAAGGTTATAAGCTATTAAGACTAAAAACTCATTCCATGCCATTCATGAGGACATTAAGGATAAAGAAATCCTAAGGGTCATGAGTTATGGACATCCATAATATATTATTTATAATACCCATAATATTTTTAATAAAAAGAAAGAGCACTTTAGTAATTTTTCATATAAAAAAATAAAATAAAATAAACCTTTGACTTAAGTAAAATTTAAATTTTAGACCTCCATATGAATAACCGGTATAAATTTTACTAGATCATTATTCTTCATATGTTATAGGTAAAATAATTAAATAAAATCTCAAAAGAGAAAGAAAATTATTTAATTTAAATTTTTGAGTTATTACTTTAATGTTGCCATGGCATGTTTCTTGTCATGAATGAAAGCTATGCCTCATGCTAATCCTCTTGCTATCTTTAGTCAAACTTCTAACAACAAACTTAAAGACTTTGTACAAAGGTAATGAGGATGAGGAGTAGAGGGAGAGGGGGAGAAGGAGAGAGAGAGATAATTTTTTATATTATTAAAAAATATAAAAAATAGTGGGACCTACTGAATAATATTTTATAATAAAAATAATTTGAATGTGGGCCCCACTGAAGAGAAAAAATAAACGAAAAGGTAATAAAAAAATATTTGAGATTGAAGGTTATAAATAACCTATAATTGAATTTAAAATTATTTATGACCTTTTATGTATGTTTTAAAATGCAAAATTGATCCTTAATTCAAGTATATATCATTCATTTTGCAGTACTAACATGTCTTGTTGAATTATATCTATTTCAAGTCTTATTCTGATGCAGATTTTAACAACATGCATGCACCCACATTTAATTTTCTTAGATTAAAGAGGAAATTGCAGATAAAGAAGGGATTAAAATTGAACTTATTTTTCTTTGATTAATCATGTTACTAATCGGCAGAACTTCCCCCGTTATTGAACTATTTCTTTCCAAGCTTGATAGGGTAAGAAAATATATAAAACTGAGCCATATTGATAGTTTGAATTAATTCACTTTTAATGATAAGCGCATAATCTAAAGCAAAATCACTAATTAAAGTGCATGATTAAACTGAACCATTTAAAAAATTACCATTATCTTTTGGAACTACGTATCATAATTGGACGGCTTATATGGTTAACCTTTTTTTGGAGCTACGTATCATAATTGACCCCCCCCCTTTTTTTAGGTCTGCAGTCAAACCCTTTTTGGAGTTTTTTTTTAATCTAAATTCTTTAAGAAAGTAGCTTATATAGACCAGAAAGAGTACTTCTCTATATCAATTGATAAATTTATAATTTAACTTTTGTCTTTTGTATACCAGTAGTGGTAGACTTTTGGTCTTTTTTAAAGAAAAAATTAATCATTTAATTTTTATAATTTTAATCTAATTGTAATTCATTTTTTAAATTTTAAATTATTATAACTTAATCATTATAGTTTTAACTCGATTGTAACTCAATTTTTAAACTTTGTCTCTTGCAACTCAGTTCCTATAATTTTAACTATTTAAATATTGGTCTATATTTAAAAAAATAAAATTATATATATTAAAAATATTTTTACCTTTTAATATTTAAAAAGAATAAAAGGGTTTAATAATTTAAAATATTAGTAATACATTTTAATATGATTTTAATCTTTATAATTTTATTTTTAAGATATAGGGACTAATATTTAAATAATTAAAACTACAATGATCGAGTTGTAGGAGTCAAAGTTTAGGAATTGAGTTACAATCGAGTCAAAACTTCAAACATTGAGTTATAACGAGTTAAAATTTAAAAATTAAGTTATAACTGAATTAAAATTATGAAGATTAAATAATTAATTTTTTTTTAAAACCATCCGATTGTTGAATAAAAGAAATTCGTTTAGTTGGGCTTGACCCAGCCCAATATATCTTTCTAGAATGAAGCCATGAAGGTTTCCAATTACTTCTTCTCAACGAGACATTGACACATGCACGCCCGTAAGACGAGATTCCTTCCTCACAGACGGAGAGTGTGATATATATACATTATACATATGTGTATACGTAATATGTATGTATTTTATTAAACTGATGTGTAATACAATTAGGCAGGTAGTAGTAAACCAAACCGCCGATATATCATCAATTATCATATATCATACATACATACACACATATATAAGTTTATAATAAATCATACTCCATCAATCTCAAATTATAAGATAATTTTAGAAGAATTTTATTGCTTCAGAATATATGAAAATTTTTAAAAAATAAGATTTCATGAATAATACTTTTCAAAATATTAGCATTTAAGTAGAGAAAGAATTAAAATGATATTAATGTAGTGTAACAATTAAAAATATGTAAGGATATTTTTAAAAGTTTATAATTTTATTTAAAAAATAAGTTTATAAATTGTCATTATTATATTTTATTGATATGAGTAATTTTATTTTAATTTGTCTTATAATTTGATATGAGAAAGTATGATTCATAAAGCATAATAAACTTCAAAAATAGTACATACGGACACACACATTATACAAGTTGTCCACTTGCTCATTTACGCGTAACTACGTACATATGTACTGCTCTCGAGCACCCAACATCAAGCAAAACCTTCTTAGTCTCCTAAACTGCTCCAGAGGGGTGCGTGGAAGTTGTGGACTCATCTTTTGTTTTTTGTGCACAATACAATTCAAATTTCAAATTCTAAATAATCGCATGATATTTCCACCGCGTAAAAAGATAAGGAGAATGGCAATAAAATTCCAAAATTTGGGATTTATGATCTGTAAGTCCTAACAAATTTTACTAAAAAAATAAATTATAAATATTAATTCAAATAGTTACAAGTACAAATCTCAAGTGCACCTTGAAAGTTATGTTTAAAATTTATATATCTTATTTGCAATTAGAAGTACTCCTATATTTATAACTATCTAAATCAATATTTACAATTGATTTTTCAAAAAATTTTAATTTGTTAAGAATTTACCTATCATAAATTCATTATTTCAGGATTATAATGTCATTCTCCCTAAAAGAGATAGGTCATTAGTAGCTCAATTAATTAATTATCTCAGGAGCTCTTGACTCAGCCAAGTGATAGAAAAGATAGAAAGTACGTTATCAGTTGAACATCTATCTAATAGACTCACTTATGCGATAAGTCTGTCACATATCACACAAAACGGTAAAGACTAATCTATTCTGATAAGCTCAATAATTAACTAATAAACTAGTTAAATAATGCAATCCATAATTCATAAAATATTCCAACAACTAGAATGAAAACAATGAAAAGAATGAATGAGCAGCTATAACATATAGAAACTTAATTATATTATACTACTACACGTTATTACACAGCTGAACTTATAACGGGACCACCAGCATCCACCTGGACAGCTTCCAATTCATCCACCCTTTCTGGTTCTACACATTGGGGTTTCTGGAGCTTGAACTTGGCATAGCACACATAAATCCCAAGGAACATGAAGCTCAGTGATGCCAGCACCAGATAATACCTGTCCAGGTGACTATCGTTCATCTTATCCTTAATCCAGCTACGAAAAATGAATGCAAATAGAATGCTGGACAATTTTCCAATCCCCAGCACCATTTCAATGCACGGCTCCACAATGTTTTTCATTGACTCAGATTTCACCCGATCACACAAGAAAATCTCTAGTCCACCTTCTGCAAATCCTTTCATTAGCCCTAGCAACAAAAACTGAGGAGTTAAAACCATGATGCTTAGGGAAATAATTCCCTCATCTTGGTCGCTTAGAAACCTAACCCGAGAAAGCCTTTCACGTTCTACTAGCCAAGCCACGAAACAGCAAACTCCTGAAAACGACATGCCAACAGCCATACTCCCAATCGGTTTCACCTTTTCCTTTATTCCTGATGATTCGATTATAACTCTAACCCCAATAGCAACCGAAGATTGAAGTGCCGAGAAAACCATGATAGGAACATATAAACTCCCAACATAAGGATCCAAGTTGGTTGTTTGCAGAACAAAGTAAGTGTTGCCAGATGCAGACACCAACTGTAAGCGAAGAAGGTGAAGAGCCCCAAGGGTACAGTGGGATAAAGGCTCTTCACATCCCTCACTTGCTCAGCCGTACAAGTACAATCCCCCTGTTCGGAGTTGTTCTTAATAGCGGCCTTGTCCAACATCGACAAAAATGATGGGTCACGAGGCAACAAGCGAACCTCACCAATTACTGTCTGATAAAAGGGATCTTCTAAGTCATCGGAACCTTCATGTTTATAACCTTGTTTTGAGGACGGATATGGCAATCCTCGCTTCTTAATAGCTTCCTTCAAGACCCTATATATGTTAGTGAGAGGGCTTCCAGAGGGTTTTTCTTCAGGATAATAGCAGAAAATGCCAAGAATAAATAATAAGCATGCAGCTCCCATAACACAAGACGAAAATTGGAAAGTTTCGGTCCAAGAAGCTGGGCCTAGGCAGAAGACGGCTAGAACGGAGCCAATAATTGGAGCAGTAGACCACCAATGATTGGTAGTTCCGCTGCCGTTGTTATCTGATTCTGATCTTTCCACGGGATTCTCGGTACATTTTTTCTTCGCTTTACTTAGTTGATAATCAAAAAAATCTCTTAAAGTTGGATCTTTTCCGGCTTTGCCTAATGCAATAAGTGCTAATATGAAAATCGTCGGAACGATATACTGCGAAGTGAAGGCGCGAACACATAGTAGCACCAATCCCTGCAATTAAAAATACCTTGTTTTATCAGCGAAAAATGAATACCATATTTTATTCGCTTTTGAAGTTCACATTTTGTTTTAGTATTCTAATTTTAAAAACATGATAAAAATGGGTGATCAAATACTAACTTTAAACTCCGTTTAATTCTCAGTCTCTGCTCCTACACGAAAGTGAGTCAACTTGGAAGATGTTCAATTTTATAATTACTTAATCACAGCAAATATAACGGTTTTGGGTTAAGCAGGAGCAGAAGGTTGACATATTTGTAATATATATATATACACACACATTTTGTGATGGACTTCATCATGGCGTTCATGACCACATAAAAAGACATATATAGTCAGAGATTTGGATCTTTTCTATACCCCCTCCCTACATGATCTCTATATTCAATCTTATTCATCCATTTAATTATTTATTTGGTTTGACGTTGTCAACCTAATGCTTTTGATAATGTAAGGATTGATTTGAAAGGATTTGAGCTATATATAACCTATAGGAACTAATACAAAATATCAGGATAAAGTGCTGGCAGGAACTAAGAAGTTAATTTTTCCCGAATATATGAAATCTTGCATGACATGGAAGCTTTCCACAAAACTGCCGTAACATGATCAGTTTCTTTGAAGTTGCTAACTAGCAAGGTTATAACGAAGTTAAGATAACTGACCATAGTATAGGCTGCGGTGCAGAAGATAATGACCTTGAAGCGACCTGCGTAGGCCACTGATACGTGTATCACAACAAGTTTGAACACAGCTGACATCACATCAAGCAAATTCACGAGCATTGTAGCTTTCCATAGACTATAATTTTCATATTCAAGGAAGTCAGCCAAAACGTCCACCACTCCCTTGTTTACAAAAGCATGGCTCAAGACTAAACCTGAATTATATATATCATTAAAGGAAGAAAGTGAGATAGTTATATTGATGAATCACTCCAAAATACTTTCAATCCAGGTTAATTTATGCAGTTTTAAAAAAGACGAAAAAGGTCAATCAATGACAAGAGAGTTTACTGTCAGTCTGTTTAAGATTTCAAAAAATAATTCTAGTTAGATTAAACATTATTGTCAAAAGTATGAGAGTTGTGAGGAGAATTTAGCTAAACACATAATAAAAGTGTTGAAAAAGTAAACTTGTTTTGATAAGTTATCACAAATATTCGGCCAAAAAAAGTTATCAGAAATAGATCATAAAAATAAATACTGTTCTTAACAAAATTTGTATGAATAGTTTAATGTTCTTTCACCAACTCAAATATTAAACTTAACTAAAATATTTTTTCTTAATGTTCAAAAAATCGCCCTAATCTCCTAGATCTAGCTCAAGCATTTAGGAACATGCATGTTGATATGAAGAAGAGAGAGAAATTAATGTTATTTACCCAAGATGAAGATGACAGTCTTGGAGAGGACAAACCCTTTGCGGAGCCAGGCGAGAAAGTGGCGCCACCCCCAGTTCATCGCTTCCAGACAAAAAATTCTCTCTTTGTTTTTTCCCCCGGCGAATGCCTTTTATTAAAAGACGATTTAGCAACGCTCAGAAGAGGGATTAGATATGAACAACGGAGGAGGAAAAAGCTGGGGACAATGCTTCCCGGCCAATGAACTATTTCATAGATCTTCCCGGTGAATGAATGTAAGAACTTTACTCTTTGCACATTTCTACTAGCGAAAATATAAACTACCAAGGGAGAGGGAGCTTCAATCTTCTAGGTTGTACCGTGAGACATTTTACGCAGAAAGGGAACTTTCCTCCAACTTTCTTCAAATTTTCTAAAATATAAAACACAACTCTACTCCCACCATAAAACCATAACTTGGGAATCTTTCCTAAAATTTTTAGTGGCATGTAAGTAAATATATCAGATATATGATCCCAAAAATGTAAAGTGTTCTTATCAGAGAGTAGGGAACCAGAGATAGCACCAGGGAGAGGAGAGGTGGGGTGAGGCTCTGGGGCCCCATTGTATGTGACCTCCAAGAAACTTCTCAGCACTCAGCCAGAGAGGTCGATATACAGATTCTGAGATTCTATGGTGGGACTTATGGATTCATCTCAAATTGAATTATTCTGATTAATCACAGTGAAAGTTATGATGCATAGCTTATTCATGGACTTGGCTTTCCTCTGGCCGCTCCAAACTCCTGCCTCTTCCACCTTTAAATTTTAACTCAATATACTGTATTATAAAATTATTATTTATATTACTCTCTCTTACTTAATTTATAATATATAAGACATTTTTGAAAGACTAAAATATAAAATAATTTAATAAAAATAAGATTTCGTTAATTATGCTTATTTTAATATTATTTTTTTCTCATTATTTTTTTCTGCATATTTAATATTTTACGCATAAAATTATATTAAATGAAGGTGTTTTTAAAATTTGTATTTATGTTTTTTAAAAATAAAATTATAATGTATATTTAATTTTCTTTGGGACGGAGTGAGGATTAAATAATAAAAAAATAAACAAACAAATTTGAGCCTTTAAAATTTAGTGACGCGAACATGGAGAATTGCAACGAAAAAAAATTTATACAAAGAATTTTTTTTTAAAGACTTTTCAGGTGATTCTCCATTCTGGACAAAACGGTGGAAGAGAAGAGGTGGAGGTGGAGGAGGACGATGGCGTCTGTCTAAGAATGGGCCGCGCGTGCAGCTTACCATGGCATAGGCTGCTGCGCAGAAGATAGTCACTGTGAAGAGACCAGTGTAGTTATCTGATACTTGCGTCAGGTCAACGTAACTTGAAGCACGTCGGATATTACATGTGTGCTTCAATTAAAAAATTTATAACTGAAATTATAATTCAACTAAAATTTATAAATTGAGATTAAAAAAAATTAATTAATATGATTAATATAATATGATTTATGTTTAAATATTTTTTATTAAAAATTAATTAAATAATTTAAAATTTACTTGAATGATTTGATATGATTTAAAAGCTAGTTAAAATGTTTAATAATAAAAATAAATATAAATTTTTTTGTATATATTTTTTGACTAAAAATATTAAATTTAAAATTAAAAAGTAAAAAATTTATAGTACTCCTTGATTATATTCAAAAAAAATTCTTTCTATATACTAAAAAAAAATGATCTGCAAGTCTGAAGCGACAAAGAGAAGGAAGAAGAAGCAGTGATGAAGGCGAAGCTAGAGTGACGATGGCGAGCTGAGCAGCGACTAGAGACGACCATCAGCTAGCGATGCCCAGCGACTAAGGACGACCAATGACAAGTGACGACTACAGCAACAGCGAACATATGCTCCCAGGCACAAGGCGGAGAAAAGAAGCTAATAAGAGAGACTGAGAACAAGCGACCGAAAGTGCGAGAGAGACTGAGAGAGACTCGAACTCGTCAAAGAAGAAGAAGAAGAAGGCCGAGGGGTGAAGGTGACTGCCACTGGTGAGCTGTGAGTTCATGACCGTGAGAGAGAGAGAGAGAGAGTACTCGAACTCAAAGAAGAAGAGGGCCGAGGCCGAGGGGTGGGGCCGTGAGGGTGACTGTTGTGGTGAGCCTGAATGCCGTGAGCGATAACTATGACTCCGTGAGAGAGAGATCGAGAGTGCAACTGTGTGAGGGATGGAGAGAGTAGATACCGAAACCTCGGAGTGTGACTGTGTGAGCAACATATCAACGCTGACGCTAACGTGAACGCATCTAGCTAGGTTTGATGGCTTTGGAGAAAAAGCGCATTCTGACCTGCCAAATTCACGGCATCTTTCCAAAGACTTTGATGATGTTCGTCTTCATCAACACGTCCACCTCTGCGCTTTGTACCGAAACATGGCTTGTAAACCTGAATTAATATACACATATATAAATATCAGTGCTGGGACATTGCTGAATCTCTCCAGAGAGAGGTCAATCTGCTCGATAATATAGCTAATTATTGTTACCCCAGATGAAAGGTACTTACGGTGTTGGAACCAGCCCAGAAAGTGTCTTCTTCCAGATTTTTTATCAACTCGCCTGCAAGAGAGAAGAAAAATACATGCAAACATTTGAAGCTCAGCCGGCCGGCCCAGAGACTCGCCGGTGGTGTACTGTAGCGTGAAGAATATAATGCAACCTCTGAAGCTGAAAGGCAGCGATATATCCCCCATTTCCCTCAAGCACAAGAACACTGGAAGAGGAAGGAAGAAGAGACGAAAAGGAAGTTTGCTAGATTCAAGAGAAACAAATTATCAAATGTAGAGCATGGAGTAATTGTGAGAGAGAGAGAGAGAGAGAGAGAGAGAGAGTTGTCCTTCATGGCTGCTCACAGTGTCGGCAGGTTAGATTATATCCGACAGTTTCCTTTGACTTTGCCCCGTACCAACAACGGCACATTTTGATTTTAAATACCAACCATTCCATATCTATCATTCTCTTACTATATTTATTTAATTTAATAATAACAGTTTTTTTAAATTTTTTATTCAAAAGATGCAACAACATTCTTTATTTAATTTGCACAATTATATTTTCTTCATCTTTATTCCGGGAGGTGTTTGGATCACACGTAGATTAATTAGTAATTAATTATCACACTATTTGAATCAGGAAAATTCATTTTTAAACATCTAGCAGACTTTTTAACGAGATTGTAACAAACATCACCAGTTTTTATAATGTATCACATGATCAAGTCATCCGTTAACGTGCCTTATAGGCCGATACCATCCAATCACAGAAAAACCAGACACGCGTCCTCTTACAGTGCCCAGCAAGTGAGGAGTAGCATAGTACTTATCACTAAAACTCACCATTTGTCAATAGAAACTGAAATCCCTATTAATAAAAAACTGACAGAAGAACGAGTTATTACTATACAAAACTGTGGAGGACCTCAATCATTAACCTCTACCTCTTAGCGAGGTGGTGGTGGTGGTGGGTGATGAAAGAGACAAAACTTCCCCTCAATCCTGTGAGAAAAATAAATCTAGTAATTAAGTAATTAGCCTTTAAAATATCATCCCTAGCTATATATATGTCGCAAATAAATTTGCGAGTGTCTATAAAAGAGCATTTTAACTTCATCAACAGTGTCCCTAAAGCCGTACTTAATCAGGATTACAACCCCCAATAAGCATGCCTATTAATAGCTAGCTTCAGTACAGGATATCAAAGTGGCCTTTGATCTTGGTACATCCTACGTATACTCCCTCTATTACAAAATGCAAGACATTTTTTGAGAGTTTAATGTTAAAAAAAAGTATTTTTAATTTTTAAAGATGTAATTATTATCTTTTTTAAAAATGTTCCTATTAAATAAATCACTTTATATTTATTTTAAGGTAAAACATCCTAGTATATTAAATAGGAGTAAATATAAAAAAATAAAATTTATTTAAAGACAAGTAATTACTTTATTAGGGTGTGAAATTTGATTAAAAATATTTTATATTTTTTAATAGAAAGAGTATATACTTCCTTCAGTTTAAAACAGAAGCATTTTTTTCATTAATATTAGTTCAAAATATAAGTAATTTAATACATGTAAAAAGTTTATTTTTTGTCAGCAAAAAAAGTTATTTTTTATTTTATCCCTTATATTTATCAATTTAAATATTTATATAAATATACCTCTAATTCAGTGTATTGATAATTAGGGTTGAAAATGAATATATGTGTTTGTGTTTATAAAAATAAAAACTTTATTGATGTACGAATTTTTCTTTTAAAACTGTCTGTAGTTTTTATTGGAAGGAGTGCCTTCTAGCCTGCCCAATAAAGTTTAGGCTATATGATTGCAATCATATCGTCTCAGCTGCCACGGGAGTCGCTGAAATCAGCTTACATGGAAAGTCACAAATCTAGTTCTTCCTCAACAGCTACTTGTCACAATCTCTATTCAAAAAGAGAATAAATCATAAGATTATGGTGCTTTTGGAGGCGTCCGAGATGATGGAAAGATTTTCAAGAGAATTCAGGACGTTCAGGAAGAATCTAATATGTTCTAGAATATTCTAGAAGTATTTAGAACAATCTAGAATAATCTAGAAAAATCTAGAAGTTTCTAGAAGGGTCTAGAAACTTATGGAGGAATGTGAAAATATCTAAAATATTCTAGATGTTTTAGAATATTTCACACATATCTTGAAGGTTATTCTCTAAAAATTTTTTCTTGTAAATATCTAGATATTTGTTGAGAATATTTTTATAGAACACTCTAGAGGATGAATGTAAATTGTAGGATTAGATTGATCTTTACCATCTATTAAGGAGATGGAAATTTTTTAGAGAAAGGGGGAAGGCCTATAAATACCCTCACAACTCCTCATTTGTAACAACGCAAGCAAAGTAATAAAACTCTCAAGTTTATTCACTCAAACTCTCTACTCTCTACTCATGCATCTAGCTCTCTTAAGTCTCTTTGCCTACTTTGTGGGTTCGACTGACTTAGTCACGATTAAGAGGTTGATCAAGCTAAGACCAGCACAGTTTAAGAAAAGGGAACTTCTAAGGCCATGACAATGTGGTATCAGAGTATGGTTTGAGGGAGTCGTGGTCTTGATAGATACTCATAGGTAAGGATGTCAGGTGTGACTGAGAAGACTCTTTCTCACGACGAGGAGAGGGGAAGGAAATCCCAACCTCCAAACTAAGGTGGCAAGAAGGCACTCGGCACTCGTAAGGTATGTTCAAAAGACCTTACTGTACTCTCTATAAAAATTGATGCTTTAGAGAAAGCAATGGAAGAAATGGTGGGAAGAGTAGAGAAGGTTAAGGGTGATAGAACCACACTCTCAAAGAACTTGAAGGGGTAAAAAGTAGTGTAGATGTCTTGCAAAACTTAGAGGATTAATGGGAGGATGCCATGAAATCCTTGGAGGTAAAGGTGATGAAGGCTATCACCGCAATGCAACAGCAACTCAACACTCTCAAGACTTCCTTAGAGGAAAAAGGAAGGAATCCACTGTTGGATGGAAATAGTGGAATAAGGGAAGTGAGGATGGATCTTCCCAAACTAAAGAAATTTAAAGGTGTGCGGGATGCCCAAGAAGTCAAGAACTTCTTATGGTAAATGGACCACTATGCCGACATCTTGGAGATAATAGATGATCAAACCAAGGCACGTACCGCTGCTTACTTCCTTACCGATAATGCAATGTTATAGTGGCGAAGGAAGCATGCAAACATACAGAAGAGGCTTTGCACCATCAATACTTGGGAAGATTTTAAGGAGTTGATGAGACAATTCTATTTGGAGAACGTGGTCTATGTAGCTCGCAAGAAGTTGAGGGAGCTCAAACATAAGACCACTATCTCAGACTATGTGCAGGAATTCACCTCTTTAACTCTTCAGATTCCAAATCTAAGTAGTGAAAAGGGTTTCTTCTACTTCATTAATGGTCTTCAAAATTGGGCCAAACATGAGTTACAGCAATAATGTGTCAAGACCATTGATGAAGCCATAGTGGTCGTCGAGAGTCTCTCATAACTTTAGTGGGAAAGAGGTGAGTCTCCTAAGAATAGATTTTCTAACCCTAATCTTGAGAATATTGGGGTAGGAAACGGTAAAGGGACAAACCTTGAAGGGAAGGTAATGAACAAGGGAGACACTGGGAAGGGATCCTAGACAAAGTAGAAGGAGAAAAGAGAATTTCGCTGCTTTGTATGTCAAGGCCCTCATAGGATAAAGGATTGCCTAAAGTTGGGGTCATTATCTGCTTTGGTGCAAAGGCAGGAGGCGTAAAAAGAAGAGAAAAATCCTAGGATAGGATCAATTCAACTTTTCAACACTTCTAAAACCCAACCTTCACAAGGCACTGGGTTAATGCATGTAAAGGCTAAGTTAAATGGGAAGCCTATTAGTATCATGGTGGATATTGGGGCAAACCACAACTTCATTTCTCTAAAAGAGGTTAAGAGGGGTAGGTCTTAAAGTTGAAAAAAGGGGAAGTTTATTAAAAGTTTCCAATTCTCCTCCTCAACCCTTAGTTGGCATTGCTCGAGGGGTTGAGCTATGTCTTGGGGATTGGCATGAAAAGGTAAATTTCTCAGTTGTACGTATGGATGACAACAAGGTGGTACTTGGTTTGGAGTTCATGCGAAAGGTAAAAGCCTTTATCATGCTATATTATAATATATTCTGCATCTTCAAGGGAGGAGTTGCTTGCACAGTACCCACTTTAAAGGGTGGATTTGCACAATTATCAACCATGCAAGTATTAAAGGAGAATAGCATATCAAGAAGGCCAGGAATGATCTTGTCTTATGGAAAGATAAATCATAAGAGAACTAAGAAGAGAAAGGATCCTTGCAAGAGGAATCCCAAGTACAGGAATCGAGTCAGTGACGAGGGCGTCACTGGATTTGGTGGGGGAGAATGTCATAATCTCTGTTTAGAAAGAGAAGAAATCATAAGGTTACGGTGCTTTTGGAGACATCCGGGACGATGGAAAGATTTTTAAGAGAATCGAGGACGTTCAGAAAGAATCTAATATGTTCTAGAAGCAACTAGAATAATCTAGAATAATCTAGAGAAATCTAGAAGTTTCTAAAAGGGTCTAGAAACTTATGGAGGAATGTGAAAATATCTAGAATATTCTAGGATGTTCTAGAATATTCTACACATATCTTGAAGGTTATTCTCTAGAAATATCTTTATAAATATCTAGATATTTGTTGAAGATATTTTTATGGAACACTCTAGAGGATGAATGCAAACCGTAAGATTAAATTGATCTTCACCGTCCATTAAGGAGGTGGGAATTTTCTAGAGAAAGAGGAAAGGCCTATAAATACCCCCACAACTCCTCATTTGTAATCACTCAAGCAAAGTAATAAAGCTCTCAAGTTCATTCACTCAAACTCTCTACTCTCTACTTGTGCATCTTGCTCTTTTAAGTCTCTTTGCCTACTTTGTGGGTTCGGCTGACTTAGTCACGATCAAGAGATTGATCAAGCTAAAGCCGACACAGTTTAAGGAAAGGGAAGTTCCAAGGCCGTGACACACTACTACCATTTGGTAACACAGAGCCGTTTACCTCAAGAAGGGAGGACCCTTCTCTTCTGGCTTGTACGTACATTTTCACTGTTTAGAGTTATTTATTCTTAAGGTGAAAGATTTACTTAACATATCCTTATCCGTGGACCATTGGATGGTTCTTCGATCCACTGTCTTTCTCTATTGGTTACCCATGTATCCCAACAAACATATCCATAAAAAATGGCCTCCAATTTTCTTTGGTTTCATACTAACTAATAACCTTTTTGCTCATGATACTACTTGGAGAAGCAC